CACCGGCAAACATCTGCACCGCATAAGATAAAAGAACCCTGCGCGTATGACCTCCAAAACACCGGCTAGACATATCCATCTTCCACCGCCTGCCTATAAATCAACTATCGGAAAATAATAGGTAACCACCGTATTTGTTGAAACTGGATATTGCCCGCATGCATTTTATTGTCGAACAGAATATAATGAATGGGCGACCACAATTCAAATACGACGTGTGATATAAACTTCGATAACTGAGAGAGTAAAGTTTCCAAGTTTTCTTCATATTTCTTCATATTTCTTCAGAAAAGGTCATGCCTTTCCCTTGAATATTCTGAAGTTTGAATTGCATTTTCGGGTTTTATTGTTTCCAGATTTAGTAGTGAAGGGTTATATTTATGGTATTCATAAAACGGATGCGTAGTTATGCAATAATGGTACGATAATAGGTTTAAACCTCATGCAGGATTAAGCAATTACATATTTATGAGACATAATAGTTTTACAGTTTTACAGTTATTATAGTGGTGGTGTGCAACAAAAAGCAGCCCATGTAATGCAGTTAGGAGCATGAAATACAAACATTGACTTCTTTTTACTCTTCCTTAAAATGAAATTTCATCACTATTTGAGTTGTATTTTACACACATTTATAACGTAACATCATGATTTATAACGTAACTTGTAATAACTGTAAAGATGAGAATTTTTGTCTTTCCTTTCACCTTAAATGTCAGAAATGCTGAAATATTAAAATCGTGCCCAAAGCAATTTTCTCTAGTTCTCTGTAATTTTACAAATGATCTGACAAAAGCGGAATTGCTTCCCATCTATATCCAAACACTCACATGACAACGACGACAAGCAATCATACCATGATTTATGTTGAGGATGTTATCTTAGTGGTGATGCTTTTCGGTCGACCGCCAAGTGAGGTTCTACTAACGCCCTTTGGTGCGGGCGTTAAGTGAAGTTTTCCACTAGAGATGGCGTCTTTTGGAGCAGGGCCTCTTGGTTAGGGAGTTAAAACATCCCTCTAAAGGTTCACAGGCCTTGGTGTCATTCCCGTTGCGCATTCATCATAATATCATTTCAGGAAGTTTTTTTGCTCCTTGGAGCAAAGTTTGTCGCGTATTTCTTATGTGCGTGGTGCAATAAATGAGATCCATTCGTAGGGCCCTCGTTCACTTTATTCCCGATGCTATAATCCAAGCTATGACATATCGGCTCCACCGCTTTCCAATTTCCAAATGTGCAGTGCAATAACGTCACACACACACAACACGGTATCCAGCGATCTGGGAAGGCGAAGCGGTTCGGGGCGGAAATTCGCTTCTCCCGGCGTTAATTGTATTCTCGGCAAGCCTATATCACATCAAAGTGATTGCGAGTACATTTTTGATTGGGCTGCAAATTGGCGCGTTATGTTCGAGGTGGAGATCTAATCCCCCACCCAGATAGGCCTCCGCGAAAGACCGTAACCACATTATCTTCAGTGCAATGCGGAGCGGCGGCCCAACTATCAATTATATACCCGATTGGTTGGCTGTGTGCAGACAGGGTTTTCGCACGAGATCGATAGGCAAGAGGCGCTCTTTCTACCACGGGATCGGCCTGAAAGCCCCGGAATTTGATGAGTAGTCTTCATCAAGCATACGCACGACGTCTTTTCGTAAATGTCGAACATCTGTAGGTCTACCTTTGGCGAGGTTTGGGCCTTAACTACACTGTAAGCTAGCAGACTGCCATGTTTGAAAACAACAACTGTCTTCCCAAAGCGGCGGCAAGAGGACAGATATCTATCAGCCGGTTTTAAAAAAAGGACATCGCAGCGTTTCTCTGCCATCACTTCCTAAGACCTAAAGACGATGTCGGGACATTAGTGAGAACATTATGTCAATAAGAGACCATTACAGAACCAACCGTCCGTATTCAATCAAGGAACTGTCACCTTATGGCCAGTTTGCAGCATCTGATCGTAAAGGGAGGTTAACCTGCAGCATATTACACATAGTTGCCATATCGGATATTGCTTTGGACATGCTTCAACACGGCAGATCAAAGTATCGAAGGCCAGAGCTGAACGTTTTTCTGCTGCCTCTGCATTTACGGGCTTTTAAACTTGTTTCAGGACTGTTGCTTCGCGGGTTCAGCGGCCTGTGAGTCACCGAAGTGGACAGGAACTAACCCGGACTCAGCCATGGTGGTGAACGGAAGGACGAGCGGTCTTCTTGTCATCTCTTTTGTCTTTGGTATGTAAACAAACGTACATGTATACACGTATGGTAATCTCATAGAGATACTCATTTGTTTGTTTGCTCGAACCTTGCTTTATTGATGAGAATTTCAATTCGGCCTGCATGCCAATTTTCTTTCAGATCATGAAGGCAGAGGTAAGGGTTAGCCAAAATATATTAAAAAGATAATGTTTTCATCTTTTAAAGTCCTAATGCATCTATATACATATTCATAAAAGACATAGCTATATGGTAGTTTTTAGCTTAAAGAATCGTCAATGATCAGTACATTGCTGTCAAAAGCTCTACTGCAAAGAATTGTTATGATATTCAGACAGTGAATGTAAGTAAATGATCAGAATCTCGTGTGCGGAATTCCTTTGTAATGAATGTATTGTAAGATTTATAATATTACCAACTTCCGGAGTTAATGTATCATGCATCTGCGGATTTCTGCTTTGCTGATTCAAATAAACAAAGATGGAAGATTGATTAAAGATTGCAGGTCGTTAATAAATGAAGAAAGCTGGAAAGGAAATCTAATTAAGTCACGGCCCCGATTCTCTTCCCTCCATCAATGATCATCAGTACTGCTGGTGCAAAAAGGCCTGACATCACAGATACGCTAAGACACTAGTTATCGACCAGGAGATGTTAACGCCGCCCTGCCTGAAAGGTTTCTAAAACAAATTCCTGCCAAGGCAATCAACCTAGATACATAAAACGAAGAGCTTCATCATTGGCTTGGTACCTAAAAGATGAAGCAGCCGTTAGGATGCGACAGATTGCTCCAGGGCTCGAAATGCTATTTTCTGTACACAAAACCATCTTTATTCACAAAACAAATATGCAGCGACGTTCGTAAAGTGTATAACTACACATGTAAACAAAACTGGCTACAAATAAATTTGCCGAGTAGACATAAAAGTTTAGAAATAAATCGACATGTTGAGTTTGATGTATCGTATATTATTAGTTCTTAGGGCTAAACATCCTTTGATATATTTACCTATTCATACACAGTAAAGGTTATCTCCTTCTATAACGCATTTGGATTTATCTATAGCATGAAATGTAACAAATTCTGTTGAGCGAGGGGAAAGAAATATGCACAGTTTCAGGCAGTATTTCGATTTGCCATTACTACATAAACTTTATCTGTACTAATTTAGCCATACCTCCAGGTTCTTCGAAATTAATGCTTTGCCTATTTCTATGGCACAATATTGAGTCTGCTGGTCAGCTATAGTTAGTTGCAAAGGTCTAGATGGAATGGTGGGCATAATCTAGTACAGAGGAATGGTTAAATTTTACCTGTGCTAATATGTATATGCAGGTGGCATTTGAAACCCTCTTAATGATTTATTAGTAGTGTTTTATATGACAGGCATTTGTGGTTTATGAGGAAATTGTTACTTTAATATACGGAATCTAGTTTTCATTGCCATATTTTAGGGCATTGTATGTAAAATATTATATAATTGCGTACCTTTACGTACGGTCACATCAATGCTATGAGGCTCTTTTATAACGTCATATAAAATACTGATAAACTATAGTAACAGATGGTTAATGATCAAATTATACTTCCTACCAATATCTGTCGAAGGGTTTTACCTTAAAACCAACCAGAAGGCAGTATAAATGATTTAATAGTCGGGGAAGAAAAATTGAAAGGGCAGTCTGATGGAAAATTAGTTTTCTTGTATTACAAGTCTCGTATTACTCTTTCTTAAACCCCATCATTTTTCAAAGCTATCAAAATCATTTGTCAAAGGTATCAAAATCATCCAAATGAGTAGATGTCCATATGGTGCAACCAGAAACTATTTTCACGCAGACAGTGTTATCACCATTTGCCTTATACATCTATTTATATCAATTAAATTTTTTTAGTCTTAGCATCACATATGTATTGGCTATTACAAATTCAATACCAGGTTTCAAGCAAGAAATCTGTACATAATCGTCTGTATATTCTTATCGTTGTTTCAAGCCCAAATTAGAATTAGAATTTATTTGAAATTATTCATAAACACTGTGTAAAGAATAACATTTGCATTATGCCAGCATTACAAACGTGTTTTTAATGCTGACATAGTGTTATAGCCAGTTTCGTCAGTGTTGCGTGTTCGTAAGTGGTGTTATTATTGCTATTACAGGGCTAGACATGCAGAAAATTAGGTCAAAAATCCCATCAAGATTGTAATCTATGGCCTTTGTAATCTGTCTCTTTGTGACGTCAAGAAATCCTTCGTCATCAATTCTGCGGCAGGAGTATTCATGTATGCTTCTAAACGCTGTAACTAGATGCTAGTAGTTGATTTATTGTTTTGCCTGTATTTGGCAAAAAATCTTAGAAGCCACCTATCGAAGTATTTAGTTTATTCAATAGTTGTGAACTTGAATTATTGATTCATCATCTATCTAAAAAACTAGCCTTCTATGTCCTTATATTATCAATTTGTAAAAACCTTCTCGAGTATTGTATTAGGGTTATGCATTTAGATATGCAAATCATAATACAATGCGATTGAAGTATAGCAGGAGTGCACTACCATACCTGGTTGGCCTTCTCAACGATAAAGAGTTAGCAACGCAAATAAGTATTTTAGAAGCTTAGAGCACCCTGTAAGGTCTCTAATATTTAACCCATGTGTATATCTTTATAATGTTGACTTTTTCTTTAATTGTCATAATCATGTTTCAGCCAGTGAACTGCTACTGTATGGAATTGTTGTGATAAATGATGTGAATAAACATTTCATTGTATTTCTTAAGTCCTGGTTGAGAGCAGCAACACCCCCTACCCTATGACCGTCAGAGGGATGGTGGGCGACCGTGTAACCCTCCGCGGCAAATTCCAGGAAAGTCTCGATGGCGTCATCGCTATAACGTGGAGTAAAATCGACAGCGCTGATGGCGGTTCCCGGAACGCAGTCGCCATCTGGTCCCCTAGTGGCAAAGATGCCAGAGACATGACCTTTGACCCGCTGAAGGAAAGGACGGCACTAAACAGGGATGGGTCCCTGACGTTACAACCGGCCGTGTCAGCTGACCAGGGACTTTACGTACAGACGGTCCTGATTGATGGAGTGGGCCAAAAGGAATATTACGTTGCGGTGGAAATTCATGGTAAGTTTTCCTATCTTCCTATCCATAGCGCGGCCTTGATAGCTTATAATTTATGACAATGATGTTTTGAGACAACTACTATGGTGCAAAGCCATGGTTCTAATTTAAGTTTACAAAGTATCATAGTCTATCTGATGTTCACATGGTGTCAAGGTGTAACAAATGTTCAGACAGTGCGTGTGTGTGTGTGTGTGTGTGTGTGTGTGTGTGTGTGTGTGTGTGTGTGTGTGCGCGTGTGCGTGTGTGTGTGTGTGTGCGTGTGCGTGTGTGTCAATCTGTTATAAGAAAACCTAAGTTCCAATTGGTACTGTTTGACTGATTTTTCTATCATAAAGAAACCTGCGTTCCCAAGGACCAATAGGAGCTTAGGATTCTTATTTTTAAATCAATGTCCTGGTTGACCACAAGATATTGGGAAGGCACTTTGTAACAAAGACATGTAATTTTGGAAACCTTTAAATGCATAATTACTTCTTTACACCCAATAAACAAAGTGAAGAAGAGCAGATTGATAACAAGATGCTGAGAGGAGACAGAATATCTTATGGCCAGATTATTTTCTCACGGCCTCTCACTTTCAGTACTGATCCCTCCACCACGCAAGACGTGACCACTCCTATAAATCCCAGCTTCAAATTAGTGTCAAGAAGACGTCTAGCTTGTTTTACCAGGCGTGCTTTGAATCCATTCTGGCTTAAGGAAATGTAATTGTAGCTAATTCTACAGTGTGACAAAACGATTTTACACCAAAAGGTTGTTAGTATGTTAATATTGTGTTCACGGCCAAGCTTAACTTCATTCTTCTGTTTAAAATTTGATTTTAGATCTATAATGTATAATGTGTAAAATATAAGTATTTAGTTGTATTTATTATTTATTATAGCAGTTGCATGTTTTCTATTGCGCCTTCTTGCATAATTTTGCATAATTATGTATCAATATTATAATGTATGTATCCTACGTTTATAAATGCTCTTAAATGTTGTACAGGAGCTGAAAAGAGGCGTGTCCTGTTACCCATGTGTGACAAAACTGTGATAAATAAACATGGAAATATTTATGATTTATAAATCCTCATCTTTTAGCTAAAATGTTTAAGTTACTAGTAAAAAATTGCGTCTTTTTTCAATGTGCCAATTTTCTTAAAGAAATCATGACTTATATGAGGAATGCATCTTTAATTGTTTCTCCTATATAAATATGTGCTGTCAACAAAAATCCGCAAAAAATTGGGCTTAGAAATCCAAGTTGGATCTTTATTCTTGAAATAAATCTATAAACGCCAGGCTGCAGCATTATGCAATATTACTTGACAATTATGATGAATATCAATGGCACAGTTCTGGTCACATAATTGAGATACAAGTAAAAATAGCAATACCGTTTTAATGTCGCCCTTTGCAGTTCATCACGTAGAAGTCATCATCCATTTACTCAAATGTCTACATCAAATGGTATCAAAGTTAATGATCAATATGCAGCAGAGGGAGCTCATTTAGCAACCAATAGAATTATTTTGCCCTATCGTCTTAACATTATATTTTAAGAGACCACATTGCTGAAAACGACCCTTACCTTCCTCGTCACCATTTTGACTAAAAGGCGTCATAAATCCCATTAAGCCGTTAAAAGTGCAATGATGGTGCATGCAGTTGTTCTGTTTTCTGCTAATTAAGATTTCTGTTTTTTTTCTCCGCATGCATGAGCGGGTGAGTTGTTGTTAATCATCCTATTTGCCATAATGGGTTGTGCAGAAGGTATCTCGGGGACTGTACTTTTGTTCCCTTCATTGCCTGGTAGACGTAACGTTACGTTCCCCTGACAATTCCCATTACATGCAGACGATGCCGGAGAGCATTTACCAAAACAGACTGCGTCTATACCTGGAGGGCCTCGATTTCTCATTAAGGATACGTTACCATGAATTTTAACTCTTGTTTTCATTAATAAGGCAGTGTTGATTATATGTTTGACATCCACGCGCTGATGAAATTTCGTCCATTGAAGAAATTAAAGCAGCTGTGAGCAAATATATGCAGTAATTTGCAATTAAAAAAATTGGAAAACATAGTGCCAAAACTAATTCCAAAGAAAATGTAAAGAAAGTGAAAATGTAGAGTCTATTATTCTCCATAGCATACTCTGTGTGTTTTAGTCATTTGATAAATTTTGCGTTTAGTCATTTGTTCAACCCTTATGATTACATAAATTTCATAATGAAGGCAACTTTACTTTTGCCAGACTTGTCTTTTTATTCGCATCACTTTCTGGGGTCATAGGATGTCATTCATGTAATAAAATCAACATGGCCTAATGGCAGAAGGTAATACAGCATGCAGTTATCTTTGCGTCGTTGCTTGCTCCAATGAAGAGAAAGAATTTGACTGTAGATTGTTAATCCAGCATCTGGATGAAAATGTTACTTTTGGCTCTGAAGAACTGTTATGCCCCTGCAGTTGGGTATAGTTGTTGCCACAATTGCTATTTTTGTTGTAGATGCTAGAATAAGCATTATGTTTATGGCTGCCATGTATTTTCATTTTGATTTGTTTCGAGTCTGTTGTTACACCAGGGAACTCGTTTGCTTTGAACACCTGTAGTTGAAAATGGTTTCTGTCGTACGGTTGCAACTGTTTATTTGACATATTGCCTCAACAGCATATTATCTTGGCCTCCTTGTGTTCTTATTTTAACTTGTTATAGGGACTTACGTTGTTTCACCAAGGGTCCTCATTAACAGATGATGGCTATAAACATTTGGAAATTCTACACCACTTTATTATCATGTTATCATGGCTGCCATGTATTGCTATTTTAACTTGATTTGGGGTTGTTATTTCATTAAGAATGCTCATTTAAAAGTTGCTGCCTTTGAACCTCTGGTATGTAGTTGCATTTGGTTTGTTGTTACAACTGATACAGATTCTAGAATAAACTTCGACAGCAAATTATCGGATCTGCCATCTGTTGTTAGTTTGCCTTGTTTATGCACGAGGCTTTCATTTTATTTATTCATTGATTGATCATACTTGATGCCAGGCGCCAGTTCAAATCCTCCAGCTGCTTCTTGTTTGAACCGTTAGACATCACTACAGGCGGTGGCGTCCTCCCTGGTTAAACCTCCGTATTTGTATGCAAAGACGGTTTCCCTGGATTACAGCACACACTTCGTCGTCCCTAGATAGTAAACTTGGAAATAAACCAATGGTTTGTGGCTTTATCCGGTGAACAATGTAAGATTCCAACGCATGGGCACGCTAAGACCCTCTGAGTAAGATGAACGGGTCGCATGTGACAAGAATTTATTGCCTTCTTTTATCAATGTCCACGGATTAGGCTAAAACATGTCCCGTCAGCTTATACCTAATCCAGGAGTGGTTAGGGAAAAAATTCCAATCAACTTTGCATCATAGAGCCCCGAGGATACGCCCTCAATACTACTAGTCACTGATAATTGGCACATGGAAGGCTGGTGCTTTAACTTTAAAAAAAAGAGAGATGAATTAAAGAGTTATGTGAAAATGGCATTGAATCTCTAAAATGTCCTTCGTAATATGTCTTCATGACTTTGATCTGCTGAGTCGAAATTGCCGCCTTTGTAATCTTGCCAGGTAATAAAAGCTGACCGTATCGTTGAGAAAAATGGTTCCATTTTACACTCATTCGCGCCGACTATATATTCCTATATGTGTCCCAGATCGAATCATCTAATAGAGATTTTCCCCCTTGAAGGTAATCATACACATAATTCTAAACGTAATTAGCTGCTATTTGACCCATAAGCTTCATCAATGGCGGGCAATGATATGGTGAAAAATCACCGGAATACCTGCCGTAATTTCACCTAATTGATGCCACGATGTCCTGGTCCAATTAGCTGTCATGGTGTGATGTAGTGGCTGGGCTGCTATCGGGTACAAAGTGGCCCAATATTTCAAACTCGTAACGTCGTTTTATTATCATCGCAGCTCCAAACTGCGATTTATATAAGGAAAGGTGAAGGTTTTGAAATGCATTACCTGTCGCCAGCCTTTGTAAGTTACGGTCTCAACTTCTACCAACGACAGTAAATATAAGGAACACGTAATGGTATACATGAAGTGAATTACTTGGCTTATATGTATATGAGATCTGTATATGCGATGAAATGTAATCTACGTAGGTTGTGTTGTTGAGTGCTATAGCCGTAATGTGGGAATACCTATAGTAACAAATCTTATTTATCTTGTTTTCTTATGGAAAGAAATATTTCCTTATGTGAAGAAAATCCAAATCAAGAAACCTACCACAAAATATCTGAATGTATAATTGTATTCTATTTCTTATTTCCTTTCAATCTTTTTCTACAGTTCGGAAAATATTTCTAGTATGATGCTCATCAATACGAATTTTCAAGATCTGTTCGTTGTCATAGGTCAGATACGCTAATATTCTATCCTTAAGATCTATTTTTCGTTAAACGTTTTGTTTTACCAAAAAGAACAGTATAGATGTATAGTTGACTGCATCAATTATAGTTTGAGTGGGCCATAAAATTGTATAAGATATTGAATTGAGAAGAGCTGATTCGTGTACGCAAAAGAGCTTTAATTTACCTGAAAGCATTACATCGTATTTGACAGTTGCTCGATATAGATGTGATGGACGGATCAAAGATGGCAATATTGGCCCTGATGAATACAATATCCGAACACTGTCAAAGGCCAACTATAATGTAGGAATCGATAATTTGGTGCCCCTTAAGAGAGAGAGAACCTGATGTCCCTGAATGTAGCACACTATTTGAATAGAACGGACGTGTTAAATTCCATAATATCAAACTGTCAAACAGTTATGGCTGTTATTTGTCTCCATGTTACCATGTGGTCATATGGTGCTTTTAAAGTTTGCAGTTTTATGTTCTTGCTTGGCCGAGAGGGCGACAATTTTTATGATATCAAGGACATATGAATCATAAAGGTGGTGAAATATTGCGATCGGTAGAAAGATTACATCGGTATTATTGTATTTATTGTGCACATATAGCCTTTGTATGAGGAACATTTGTCAGGTTATAGATCGATATTGTGGAATGGCCTTTATTAATATGGCCAATGAACCTGTTGAATATTATATAACTTCGACGACGATATTGTGGAATGGCCTTTATTAATATGGCCAATGAACCTGTTGAATATTATATAACTTCGACGACGCACAATGCAAGAGGACCATTTCTTTTTCAATATCAACCATATAACACAGTAGCATTGTGTAGAGTACTAAACTGCCGTTTAAATGTCTAAAAACGTCTGTTACCTTCCACCATCGTAATCCCTGACCAGCTTGATTGAGATATTTGGCACTGTTTCGACTATATTGTGCACGTTTGCTCTCCTGTGCAGTTTGAGATTCAGGAATATTAATCGAAGCTAGATACTCATTTCCACTTGAGTGAAGAAAGTCGTGTAAAGTGCCCTTCCCAAGGGTACAAGATCGGTGGCATGGAAGGGTTTGAACCCGGGACCACTTGGTTCTGAACCGAACACTCTGCTATTACGTGACATGACCCCACATGATAAGAAAGGATGCCGTAGAAACATCAATTTGAAAGTGTCGGTGTGCATTTTATGTAATCTCTTGTATTCTTGCTTGTCTTCTCTCCTAGTGCCACCGACGGTTAGGCTTTCTATGCCGAGAAGAGGAGAAGCTGTGGAACACACCACATTATCCATCCACTGTTCCGTGGAGAACACAAGTGCCTTAGTCAGCCCTATATACTGGACAAAAGACGGGAGTATCATCGACACCAGTTTGCGGATGTCGGTCACGTTAAAAAGTGGGGACAACATCAGGAACACTTCGTTAGTGATTCCGTACGTCGAGAGAAAAGATGGCGGGAATTATTCGTGTGTGGCGGAGTACCTCACGGGGTTTCAGGCGGCCAGCGTTCTATTAGACGTGCTGTGTAAGTACGGCTCAGATTCAGATTCAGCTTTCAGTGAACTAATTCTTTAAACACACCTTAAAGCATGCGTAAAGGTACATACGTATGAGAGAAAAAAACGGAACATTTACGCATACTTAAATGTAGGCTTAGATAATGGATTTTTTGCAGTGTTTATTTGTATTGACTTATAGTAGGTCAAATACATGTGCAAACATGGTGTGCCAACATATACACCGGGGATTTAATGTTTTTCTTAAAATACTTAATTGAACAAAATACAACAAAGTTTAAAATTTAATTCGATTTTGGTGTTAAAAAATATGCAAATGTATACAAATTGTATATTTCAGTAATGCTACAAGTAAATGCCGTGATGAAAGAATATACGGGAAAGGATCACAAATAAGATTATTTCTACCACATATACACACTTATTAGAATAAAATAAGGGTAAAAAATCAGCTGCCATAATTATAGTAATGATAATAAATGAATGGATGGGTAAACAGTAAGGTTCTAATAAGCTAGGAATAAAGAAGGGGTCATTTGGTTTTGCTCTTCGTAGCCCTACGCGGACTCTCTGTTGCCCCTTCCAATCATTAGCTTACATAAAATTACATAATGATGATGACCTTAGGCCTTTGTCTAGTTTGTTTTACAAAACAAAGATAAATTGGAGGCATTGACTAAGGATACTTCAAGGTCGTCTTTAAACCCCTAACAGCACTTTAACTTTTGCAGGATTAACTTTACGTGCCTCAGGGCCAACTTAGGAATCAAGTGGGATCAGGAACATACATAATATTAGCTACAGCGGTATCAAAACAGTTTAGGAACTACAGCATTAATACCATGTTACGGGTTTGACCAAAGAAATGCAAAGCAGTATCATTAGTCGCATAGCACGCATTTCCTATAAATCGGTGATGCTGGATTTCCATAAATACATCTTATCATGGCGCGTGGGTTATGGGACCTTCGAGCCACTAGACTGTGGGAAACGACCTCTTAAATTAATGAGCTATCCAAAGGAGTGGGACTGGGTGTCTTTGTGGGGAGGATCTGCGATACATTAACGAGTGATGGCTTTGAAAACATGAAACTGTTGGCACTCCACAAGCTCCCATTGGAGCATCTTTGTCAATGATGGATGGATGCAAGACGGACACTGTGAGAAGAAGGAACTGTCGCAAGAATTATCCATCTTAAGACCGTTGACTTTTATTGAACGAAACGATATTTACGCATACCTTAAAGCATATGATCTATTTTAGTACAACATTTATGCATAATTTAAGGTAGGCTTGAATATCGTTTCGTTCAATGAAAGTCAATGGTCTTAACATGGATAATTCCCGTGTCAATAAGGTCACGTGTCTGTAACCGTAACTCTTGCGACATCATGTTTTGAAGTGATTGGTCATTCATTATCCCGATGAAGGCTACAGTGGTCGTTGAAAATTTGATCTCTGTGTAATCTTTGTGTTAAGTTCACCATTTTACCATGATTACCAATACAGATGAACATTCACGATAATGAAAAGTCGTTATTTGTCTCCCATATAAGTGTCATGTTAAACATTACAGACGCGGCAAAGATCATCAACATCTCCAATCCCATCGTGCCTTTCGTCGGAGAAAGCGTCGAGCTGCTGTGTCAAGCCGAAGGTAACCCCACCCCCAACGTCACGTGGTACAAGGCAGGACTCGGGGAGCCAATCGCCTTTGTCCGCGGGGTCAACAGGAGGGCTTCCGCCTCCGTCACCATTCCTGAGTTGAAGACCAATGAGAGCCAAGATTACCTTTGCGTGGCATCCAATGACGTTGCCGATGCCGACTTCAAGTCTGTGTTCATTTCATTCGTTGAAACAGCAGCCATGACAGGTGGGTAACAATCCTACAAGTATCAAGTCACCACAGCGCACGGCGTCTGCGCCAAAACCCTATATATTGAGCATAGCACTTTGACAGATCGTCTCGTTTAACGTCGTGTTCACGTATTTAAAGATGACATCCTGTCTATAGTTGTATAAGTGTAGTGTAGAAAAACACATGGTCAGCAACATGCAAAATTCTGATGCAGCGTTGAGCAAACGTCCGAAGAATAAGGTGAAAAACATATTTTTAGAAAATTATGGTTTTGCGCAGGCACAGTACGTTCTGCTGACATGCTCAGAAGAGTCATATTGTCCTCAATATCCACATAAGTCATAATAATGCAAGTCACATCTCCTGCCCGCCTCCCTAACTGTCAGCTCTATCACTAGATTCTCTTTTGCTGAAAGGACATTGGAAAATTGGTACTGGGCAAGGCAAACATCAATATCTCTTTTTTTTTTAGTTGATAACAATCCAACTCCTGCAGCAAAAAAGTCGGCAACAAATCGACTCAGATCATGAATTGCAGGCATTGCTTAGACAATTGTTTCTTAGATCTCGTTTGCATCTTACTCAACTAGATTCTATCCATTTTCCCTTATCTACGTTCTGGTGCTGCTTCTAAAAGTATCCTGCCTTTGAACAGTTCCTGTATATACGAGATCTCATTGACTCGTTGTTATTCCCTAGCAGAGGTGATATCTCCCGTGCGACGACTGTTCAAGATAGCAATCATAGCCGGCAGCGTTGCAGGCGGGGTTCTGGTGCTCACGGCAATCCTGCTCGTTGCGCTGACGGTGTGCAGGAGAGATAAGCACCGGGCTGCCTGGACTCAGTGCCAGCTCGTCAACGTTGTTCCGCCGATCCCCGAATCAGAGATGGAAGTGGCTCCTAACAACTGCGATGAAGACTTCGATAAACTGGCACACGATGGGGATATTTCGCCAGGTAATTCTTTATGTAATTGTCTCAATTGAAATTCTGCCAAATCGTTCTGCAAACGTACCCTCAAGCAGTTACAAAATGGTGCAAAGTGCTGTAAAAGCGTTTTATTTTTTGGTTTAATTTTTTGTATGACGGAAAAGGAGTTTCCAACAACTGCTAAGAAGACTTCGATAAGCTAACACACGATGGGAATACATGTCTCAGGAAAGGTTTTTATGTATATCGATTGAAATTCTGCCAAATTGCTCTGCAAAAGTATCCTTAAGCAGTTACAGAACTGGTGCAAAGTGCTATAAAAGTATTAACTTTCAAATGGTGGGTTCCTTTTATTTTGCAGCATGAGGTAGGTTTTGCGGTGATTGAAGTTAACTGTTGGCACAATTCTGTAGTAAAAGAGAATGTCGTGATTTCGTGTTTAAGACTCCAATAGATTGTAAAGACGACTTTACCCTGTAAACGTATTCTTAAGCTATTACAAAGTTAGTGAAAAGTGCTATAAAAAACTTTCATTGACGTTTTCTTTATTTTGCGACATGAGGGAAAAGGTGCTTTCATGGTAATTGAAGTTCATGGTTGAAGCAATCTGGTGGTGCAGTAACTTTCTGATTTCGCCTACGTTTAAGACTTCGATAAAACTAGTGTAAGATGGGAGTATGTCTTAAAATGTACGTTCGTATGTATGTCAATTGGAATTCTGCTAAATTGCAATGCAAACGTATACTATTCATTTTCGGGATTGTTTTATTTTCTTGTATGAGGGTATAGGGGGCTTCAACAACTGCAGAGAACACTCCGATAAACTGGCTATAGCACGTACATAATGGGGATATGTCTTCAGGTAAGGTTTTATGGATGTCAATTGAAGTTCTGCCAAATTGCCATGAAAAACATCATCAAGCTGTTACAAAGCTGGTACAAAGTGCTATATAAAAGCATTTACTTTCACGGTGGGCTTATTTTGTGGCATGAGGATTAAAAGGGGAATGAACTTCACGTTTGAAACGATTCTGTTGCACCTTGTCAGGAATGCCATTAATCTGCGTTGAAATAATCGTGTGACATAGTGGTTATGTTGGCTAGAATCCACCAACATGTTGTGCCATTTAGAAAGGCACTTTATACGAATTCCCCCCTCCCCCTCCCTCCCGCAATCGATCACAAACACTCGCACACAATCACTCACTCACTTACTCACTTAGGTGAAAATGAGTACATTGCTTTGGTTAGGGACGTCCCTCTGGTAAGACGTTTGAAAAAAGCATTTCTGTGTTTATGGGGAACCACACCCCACGCACGTTAAAGAACCCACTACACATTTGGAAAAAGAGTAGGGACATGCCCCGGTATTGAATACTACTATCTTACTACCTACAATTTGGTGATTCAATCTGAGTCACCCGGATATAATGTAGGCCTGTCTCGTATTAGCGACACTATTATTTACATCATCCCCCCTGCGGACTCCAGAACACTTTAGTTTTGACTTTGGAATAAGCTATTCTGTGGGATTTAAGAGATTCGCGGCGTTACTCAAAACGTCAAAAAATCAATTCATAGCCACTTCATTTTGACATTCAGTAAAGTAGAAGCGATTTGATTGAAATCATGACAGACATTTCAAGCGGGGAAGATTAACTCTGATGTTAGATATTTTCAATGAAGCGACTAATATTTCGCTAAATCTGAAATCCATCATATCATCAGCTTGAGTTTGTAAGACTTATTTGTAAAAGGTCAGAGACAAGTTTCCATTGATATTGATTCATCTCAGCTAAAGGATAATCCATAAATCCCGGTGTACATGTCAAATCATCATTATGTTGTCAGGGACATAATGGATTGTTTCGTCACTATCCCTCAGACACATTACTGTTAAGAAGGCGTGAGCAGAATTTGAAAGGACAGCTCAACGCATTAAATTCACTTGAGGCGATTTCATGGCAGCAAAACCTGGATTTTAAAACCCTTTTTCTGGTCATTTCCAATGTAGTAAAGTTGCATCAACCAATGTCTTTTTAAAAGGCCAGTAATAAGTAGCAGTATTTGAAAGGACAACCCAGCACACTGATTTATGACAGGCCTTGTCACAAAGACTATTCATAGCTTTTATAACCCCAAGTCTGGCTGATAGCTGTAAAAACCATCTGTTGAAATTGATAGGCGTGGGATAACTTGTAAATGCAACGAGGAATAAGCTAAAGATAGAACTGAAAGGTCTTCGGCATTTCAAGTTTCAGTTACAATATCAGTTGTAGATGTCGATAACATTTTGAAAGTAGCATGATCATATCCAATGTAAATCTTTATAACGATACCTAAAGCGTATTAGACCAAAATGTTAACATACTCATGTATGCATCAATTTGTCTAACTCATTAAGTAAACTTTTTGGCAGAACCTTTAAACCTGAAGATCAACCTTGAAAAACAAGCTGGTAGTTGGCTTAAAATTATATTTAAACTGCCGTGTATCGGCGTTTCTGAATAAGCATGCGTTTATTATTAGCAACTGGGCACTCAAACGGTATTCTTTGTCTTACTTCACTTTCTTCCCCTTTCTTCTTTAAATTTCTTATATGACAGAGTTACTCCCCAGCCAACCTTGCCCTCTTCAGTTCAATATCGTTACTCTATGATTTATTATTCAGGTCTGCTCCCCGTCTGGGTAATAAATAAGATCAACCGTAACTGCAGCAAAAATACAATGAAATATACATCCGTACACTACTGATGTTCCCAGTGGGACTAACCTTAGTGCCACCGTGAGCTCTAGAGTAGTCGACTCGCCGTCTGAAGTTTGATTTTATGTTCGTTTTCTTAAACAACGGGGATGGAGGGTGACTAAGAGCATCAGAGGAAAAGCATTTATGGTGCAGCTTTACTGTAGTTTCCAGAAAGCTGTATGGCCATAAAGTAGCATCGAGGGAAGTAGTACTCTTTTTAACGGCACCCAAAATGATGTTAGGGCAGAAAAACTTGACATACAAAGTCAAGATCAAGGTTGGTTTTTTAATGTAGTAGTAAGTTGAATCAACTCTATCACATAGATATCTTTGAGGCAAAAATGTGAGGTTGCTGGTGGAAACGGTTACTTGTTTTGTTTCATAGTTAGGTTCTAGCTATATATTAGAGGTACCCAAAAAGTAAGGTACTCCTCGAGAATTTTGCTTTGGGGACTATTTCAAACGCTTCTTGTATGAAACGATGACAAAATTTGCTAATAAAAGGCAGCATATGTCAATATCAAGCAGGTTTTTCCTCGTCCAGAATATTTTGTTGTTGTTTTGCCGTCCTGCTGGAAATTGTAGTGAACGCCAATGTGATTTCAGGGTGGCAAAACACAAATATTCTGGATGAGGAAGTCTGTCCAACGTTGACATTTACTGCAATTTCTTTGTACATTTTCGTCATGATTACATACTTGAAGCGTTTAAAGTATGACAAAACAAGCTACGTGAGGCGTCTCTTTATTTTTTTTTTTGGGGGGGGGGCACCGTTCATAACTAGCTCGAACCAGTCTACCTACACAAAGAACCGTTTTCAGAAATATCAGTTTGCTATGGGGTAGGGTTGACACAACTTACGACATTAAAAAGAATAACCAGGGTATTGACTGAATGAAAATCCAGTTTTGCTGCCCCGAAGTTGCATCGGGCGCCTTAAAAAAAGTTTTGACGCTTTTATCTTCTGTTATTTATATATGAATAACAGAAGGGATAGGGTTGGGTTGGGAAAGGGTTGACACAACTTACTACATAAAAGAATAACCAGGGTGTTGACAGAATGAAAATCCAGTTTTGCTGCCCTAAAGTTGCATTGGACGCCTTAAAAAAAGTTTTGACGCTTTTATCTTCTGTTATTTATATATAAATAACAGAAGGGATAGGGTTGGGTTGGGAAAGGGTTGACACAACTTACTACATAAAAGAATAACCAGAATATTGACTGAATGAAAATCCAGTTTTGCTGCCCTGAAGTTGCATTGGGCGCCTTTAACAAAAGGTTTGACGCTTTTATCTTCTGTTATTTCCATAAATCAGACCGCTGCGTGGCCAGAGCCATCATGCCTTACGAGGTCAGCGAGCCCGGTCTACTCCATTTGAATGTCAACGACGTCGTTGAAGTGCTCAAAACCGGGAATGACGGATGGTGGTTCGGGTACTGCCAGGGAAAGGTCGGGGCCTTTCCTGCCGCTTGCGTCGAGATCCTCACGAAGCCGGATACGCTAAGCAGAGGTTGGGCATTCGTTTGTTAATCTTCTATTGATCCTGCGGTGACTCGGTGGAAAATATATGTGGTGCTGGTAATGGAAACTGCTTTAATGTTGACGTGATTCAAGCCGAGATATGGTTTTTACAATGAATCAATATAAAAGAGTCGAACAAATTCTGTTTAACGTAGGCTAATAATTTCCTCGCAATGATAATTCTTACCTGAGTACCCGATTAGACGCCTGTCCGTTTTGCGGAGGCTCGTTCTTTTTCATAGTGGCCCGTGAAACCCCGTCACACACAGCCGGATATGGCGTCCCGAACAGTGCCAACCACCCAGCCCCCACACCGTGGTTGGGAATAGCTGGAGTGCAAGGTCGGTTGCTTTTCGGAGTGGTTGGCTACTGTTCGGCTGCACCAGCAGAATATTTTAACTTAAAACATTTGAATATTTAGGAGTGGACATATGGTTGGGCTAGTTGGAAAGTTCGTTGGGGACTGATAGTCTGGAGGTTGGCGTGCGTTAGAAAGCATGACTGTGAAACTTAATATAAAAGCCTGAAAAGTTAATTGTTCAAGCGAAAATTACAAAATTTCGCAAAAGAATGCCTATCGGAAACTCGTTGCCATGGCAACACGAAAAATTATCTACCTATCTACTGATATGAAACTGTTTCTAGGAATATTTTATGAAAATTCACCAAGTTTGGTGGTTCTAGCGCAAGTCGTTCGGATGCCATGCGACTTCAAAGCGTTAAAAGTGGGAATCAGTAGGCATTAAAAGCATACTACGTCTCTTGAATTAATCTATTTTAAAACACGTCAGGTTCTAGAGACATCGCCAAAGCCACTAACATCTATCTGAGTTATGTGAAGCGTTAGAAAGTTCTAGCAGACACATATAACGTTATAAAGTGCAGGTCAGTAGCTATTGAAAGCAAACTGCCATTCTAGGATTGCGTCTTGCACTTTTTGGGACACATATATTAATATCGTCACAGTCACAGACGTCCGAATAATGTAAAGCGTTAGAAAATTCTTAGTAGACAGATCACGTTTGAAACGGAAGTTTAGCCACTCTTGGATTACAATACGTTAACATCGCCACAGTCAGTAACATCTGAGTCATGTAAAGTGTTAGAAAATTCCTAGCAGACAGATAACGTAAATGGCTGAGGTCAGTAGCTACTAAAACTATTTTTGGAATACAATACGTTAACATTCCGACAGCAACCAAGATCTGAGACATATTCCTAGTAGACAGATAGCGTAAATGGCTGAGGTCAGTAGCTATTAAAAGAATACTACGTCTCTCGGATTACGTCTGGCGAAAAACAAGTCAGCCAAACAAAGCGGCAAATGTCCCTACGAGACAATCCATTATAGGATAATCGATCGACAGATGGGAAACGAGTACGCCATTAGGGTAATTCCACAGTAAAACTCCTGTTTCTCTCCATGCATGACCACTCGTCAAAAGGTTTCTCCAGCCTTCCTTTCTAGAAATGACAATTACGTATAATTCCATTAACTTTGGAGAATCGATTCCCTAATCAAAGTCGTGTTGCACGATAATGGGTATAGACAGGGGCTATATGTTTATTTTTGGATGAATTGGACAAGTTACATCGATTTTATAGTATTACGCATATCATATGCAGTTATATTAAGATATGTTGATATAGACCTAGTATCTTCCATTTTCATTTGTACAATTTTCATTTGTACTATTTTATATTTATTTTTATTTTTTGACGAATTGGACAATTTGGCATTCATGTGCACGCATATCAGATGCATTTATATTGAGATATATTGATACAGACGTAGTATCTGCCATTTGCATTTGTAAACTTTCACATTTGGCACTTATACATATATCACAGAGACCTTTAAATACACGCTACAATATCAACCTTGAAAAAACAACCGAGTGAATGCTATTGCATACGTTTCCAGCATTACTTATAGTACAGTAATGATGTATTTTCTTCTACATTAAGCAATCGCAGCTCTCTTGAGGTTTAGTTTACGAGGGTGTCTGCTGACTGAGAATATTGTAATTATAATGCCTATGCTTGAAACAATGCCAAATGCCATATCACGAAACTACAACATCTGTATAGAACGAGCGATTTATATTCATTATTTGGCGATGCACCACCCGACTCAAACCCAATAATACAGCGATATAACGGATGACAAAGAATGATATCAACGTTGCTTATTATGCAGATGGCTTCTACACTATGGATGATATGTATTGGCTAATGATAAAACATTGCCAAGGTCAGTATAGTGCTTTGGAGTCCTGATTATAAATCATGCACACTCTCCTGGCAATGTTGATTCCGAATTAGTTTGGGCTATTCTGTCCAATGGCAGCATCAATTTCTGACACAACATTATGCTAAAAGTAAGGAAGGTAAGTTTGAAATCATTGAAACAGTATTTTCCCATTTTCAATACTGATCAAAGGAGGCCGTATATAATGACAGCAAATGACCAATGACTATATAGAATGAGATGTGAATGTGCCTTTAAAATCATTTGTGAAATCATTTCTAGAAGTTATAAATTTTACCACTGATTTTCAAAGCACATCACTCATCTAATATTGTAATATTGTATGGCATTTTGCAAAGTAGTCTAGTATCTTGTGCATTTGATATATGGCAATAGATGGCATACGTTGTACCCTGCACAATTTGTTTTACAAAATTATAATTAATAGTTGTTATCATTATTATTTTAACACAAAACAGGTCGTCGCCGGAGCAGTTCCACACAAGTTCCTGAGTGTGAATGCTCGTATGCAACACTTCCACTTAGAACACACAGGTGTTCTTCTAAGGTATGTTGGAAGAAGAAAGCAAATTCCCTATCATTTAAAAGATCCAGAAATGGCAAGACGCTCTATAGGATGGATTTTTGAATCGAATTTACTGCCAAACCAAACGATTGTTACCGAGTAGCCTGGGACGTTTTATCAAACAATTTTTTCAGCAGCACCAATAGAGAGAATTGCATGACGCATTTGTTAAATAGATAATGGAAAATTGAGATACCACATGTATCCTTCTTCCGCTTGCACCTAATGCAATTTCAGGGCGGCAAAACTTGATTTTCAACGTAAATTTTCTGGCCATTCTTTTAATGCATGAAGTTGAATCTACCCTACCTCATAGAATACTGATATCTGTAAGGCAAAAATGCCATGTCACTGATGGAAAACGACAGATTGTGTTCTATCTTTAGCTATTTGTGGCTGGTACCCAAGAAATAAATAGACGCCTCTCGTAGCTCGTTTGCTTTAAGTAAAAACTGATGACATGTGCTAAGAAATAGCAACAAATGTCAATATCATCAGACAGATTTTCTCATCCGAAATATGTCGGCCTAAATTTCCATTGGTCCCCTTAAAGCTAGTTATTTCCTGCATACGCAAAGGTTTCTTCGTAACACCGAATGTTTTCTTTATCCCCAGGAGCAAATAGATGACAGAACTTTACCGTTACGACGATGTTACAAGACGAAAGAGCGCAGTCCCCGCCAACATCGTAAATATTCAGATTCAGAAATGCAAGTGGACGGACATCAAACAATACCGACTGTCTCTGGGCGTGTTACAACGAACCTTTAACGGACACACTAGCAACATTTCTTCATTTATAGAACACTATTTGTATCTGATGGTGGCTGCTACTATGTGCAGCAGATATTGATGCTGCATATGATCTACTCGTGGTACAATCGAATCTCTGTAGAGGTATACTCTCCAATACTCCATAAACATCTATATATAACTTTGCGGTTTAAAGTGTAATATAGCTCATGGATTGACTGAAACCAGATAGAATCTCAGCAATACTAGTCCTGGACCTGCCAGTTAGTATGGCGGCGGAAATTACCGACAACATATACGACAAAAAGTTTACAAAGTGATATCTGTCTTCAAATTTACAGCGTTGTTAACTTTATTATAGTATACTCGTATAATTTCTCTTGCAATCGCTGTTTAAATGTGCAGGTTGCTGATAGAATCAACATGTTTCAAGATCGTGCCATTTTCTCTTCAAGATTAAGACACTCGTCTGAAGATCGATGTCGCAATGCTTGTGCTTCTTGAAAAGAATGCACTATGTTATATCTATGATTAAAAGGTAATATTCTAGGTAATATTTCTTTGACAAGGGAGCTTATGCTTTGGTCATGTTGATCTTGACCTCTTATGTGGAAACTTTTACACAATGGGTAGTATAGAAAGGGAACCTTTTTGCGCTATTCTATATTGCACCTTTGTGTCTGTGCATATAGTGCAATACAATGATAATACATCTAACATCCAATTGCATTGATGTCTTTGAAGACATACGAATTGATCTGCTTATTTAATAAAATGCAGTTACATTTCATTCTTTTGTCTAACGTATGCTGTGATGTTTTACAGCTCTTTTGTGACGTGTTCAGGCAATACAAAACTGTTCTAGTTCTGGTTAAAGGCCATGCGATATGGCTTACCACCAATTCAGCAACTTTTGTTATCGCAGTACAGCACCCACAGCCAGAGCTACAGGGCCTGATCCTCTTGACTGCGTAATCACGTTATTTATGTCTTTTCCATATGCAACAACTCTTTACGTTGGGGAACCGGCTAGCCAAGACATCAAGGCAGGCGTGACATCAAGGTGCATTCGTGATCTTTGTTCTTCTGCACTGTCTACAACCCTCTTTGCAAATGGCCGCCATGGGACTAACTGCATGAGCAGAGGATACGGTCCAAGAGAATCTTCAAGGATTTCATATCTCAAGACTCTCAAGCCATGACTTTGCGTCTGTCTTCACCGTGGGCCAGAATTCGTGGCGTCTTGGTTCAGAGCTTGATGTACTGCGATTGAGCTACAAGAAGAAACCTCCTTTCTTAGAGGAAAGAGCCCTAAGGTCCTTCTGTAAGCCTATACGTGAATCTTGCTTTAGTCGCAGACATGAAACTGGTCTGGCGCATTCGAGTCACGTACTTGAAGACGAGCGTTTTTCAATCATGAAATGACCTTCCTAGTATGTGACCACAGTTTGGGAAATACATTCGCAATGTCTCAATTACAGTGACACTGGAAGTAAATATATGGCTGGATTATTTGACGTATTTCACTGTTACGACAATTAACGAGTGGAATGAATTTATCTCCCCAAGTGTGTCGTTTCTGATTACCTAAATGTAAGGTCGTCTTCGGTTCCCGCCGTTTGGCTGATTATTGGGATGCGTATTAATCTTACGGAGTGTAAGGTTCGGCCAGATATGCACGCACTTTGCTGCTAAAGCCGGGAACCGCCGAATTACCGTCTACTTCATCAATGCATCATTGCACGCTCCGCTGATGAGTCATTTTCCCGTAAACGGATCATTTGTTGGACGTACCGGCAGCAGTAACGTGAATGACAGGCTTATGTTTGCATTTAATCCCCCGATTCTGTGACAAAATAAAGGGACTATTCGCCCACACATCTCCCGGATATCGTTCCTACACAGCTTGTCCACCAGGTCCAACCCAGCTTTCTTCATACACGCCTTCGGGCCAATTACACTAAGCCGTAAACTCCCTGCCTTCAACTCATAAATCTACCGTAACGGAACTAGCTATCGTTTGAACCCCCCTCCCCACTTCATCTGAATGACATAGACAGATTACTGGCATTTCGTACTGCTGCATTCTAAAGCTCTATGTTTTCCCAGATAGCTTTTTTTCAATCAAACTTCTGCAGCAACCTTATTCCTTGAAGCATCGAATGCGAAGAGTAATAAAGTTTATTAGCTGGTTAGCCAGAGGCTTTTTGATTATAGACCGAGCAAAATACGAGCATCCGTACCGTTCATTGTTCAGGCGTTACGAGTGCTGCCAGCTACACTGCTGGCAAAGTAAAAAGGTATGACGTATTTCACTGTTACGACAAAATTGCTCTGTAGAATCCACGATGAGATCTGTATTTATCCCAGTGAGTAACAGTAGTATTGAGTGAGCGGATACCGTACAGTGCTCGATGACCTAGAATAATACCCAGAAATGATCTGTTTATCACTCAATCAAACCATCATTCAATATTGAAACTCGTAAATGAAACCGAAATGCCAATACTACTACTTCATGGACTGTGGAGGCACTTCGTATATACTTCATGATCTCATAAAACAAAAGAACATTTATGGAAGTGACATTGAAAGGTGCCCTTGTGTTCGATCCGTTGGATTATTCTGGAATACATATATGCCTTTATTTTCAACTAACATGATAATCTTATTTCAAAGAAACAAGATCATCCTGTACCTGATCCACGCTATAAATGTGCTGTAAGAATGTTCTACATGAAAAGAAATACATTAGCCCCATGAGATGCCTGGCCGTAAACCTCTATAAATGAGAATCTGACTTGGCCATTGACGAAAAAATCCAGACCTATCCTTACAAATCGCCGTCGCTTTCAAGCGGAAAAACAAGCTCATTTCAGTTGGTAATCCAGGGTCAGCCGTAAGTCTACATTCGATAGGCATATTTGAATGGCTTTTGGTAAAGACCTTTAGGACTTGGCTAAAATTGCTACTGAGAGAACAAGAGGATTTGGCGGCGTTGTGATCTTGTTCTTTATTTTATTAAGGGTGAAATGCAATAAACTATGCGTACTATTATGGCCGATATGACAGAGACTTTGCTATATTATATAATCTATTATGCATTGTTGCGGTTGAAAAAAAGAAGAATTCAAACTCCCTTGAGGTTTTCGGGATTTAGTGAATGCATTTGGACTGTGGGGAGGGTTTTATGATATAAAACCCCATACAACCGATTTTGCTAAGAATGATTACCGGGAAATACCTCTCGAATAGCATCATATAATGCACTAGTACCTACATAAATGTTACACCATTACACAACACTACTAATTCTGGAACCCAAACAGACAAACCTTGCACAAATTAGCACCACCCAGAACAATACTTACATCCCGGAAAAAATAAATGGTACACATTTAATGACTCTCTCCCAATGGCAACATAGATTTAACAGTTTTGAAGGCGTCACCATTGCCAGCATTTAAGCATTTGAAATTGCCCAAAACAAGCTACGTGAGGCGTATTTTTTATTTTGTATCACCCATAGAAATCTAGAACCAGCCAATGATAGGGAACAAGCAACATTTTTTCTATCATTGACATCGAATTTTGCCCCACAGACATCAGTATGCTATAGGATAGGGTTGACTAACTTACGCCTTAAGGATGACCACAACATTGATTTTGAAAATCCAGTTTTGCCGCCCTGAAATCGCACTGGATGCATCGATGCCTTTGAAAAATACAAGGGCCAAGTACGTTGCCTTTTATGACGTATTTCACTGTTACAACAAAGTCATGCCCTTCTTTACAGATGCCAGCCTTTTAGTGCTTTGCTCAAACCCCATGTACGTGTTAGCACACGTAAATAGACATGGTTGAAACTTCATTTCAGGTTTCAAACGTATCCAATTACCCCAGCATCAGCTTCCAGTGGATAACTCTTTGACCTATCGTCTGGGGTCCTCTTTCTTGGACAAAAAAGCCGTGACCCATAGTGGGATCTTCAAGACATTCTTGGAAGCGTCTCAAGTTCTACTATTAGCATGCTACTTGTTTGGACTTGCGGAATCCGTCAAAGGCCTTAGCGCCAGTGTCTTTTGTAGAGGTTCATTGACCCAAGATCTCCCAATTTCTCGCGAGTAATTCCTTATCGAACATCAATAGGAAGGTGAAGATTGGATTCGATTTTTGTCCGTTCCCTGTTGGTCCTTCTTGACAAGAGTGGTCGCATAAGTTCTACTTGGCTAAATGATCCCCCAATCGCGACGAAGGAAGGGCCGTACACGACGTTAATTGCATTATGGTCGCTACCCTTTTGGGTTACACTGTATCTTATAACGGGCATTGTCTTGAAATTTAAAGAAAAAGGTCGACACCATATCACATCAGACACTCAGAGAGAATTGTTATTTTACCGCCGTACATTGTACTTGTAAGATTGTTGAAAGTTCATACGTTGATTTATTCATTTATAACGATGGTATATTCAAAATGATTCATTGCTCAAGATTATGATATAACAATCAATCAAAAGATCTGATGACATTAGAATATCGCCTCTATCAGAGACCATTCGTCATAATGATCTTAGATCATTATTCAAGCCATGTTGATTTGATTATACAGATGACGTCCTGTTGGAACCCAAAAACTGATGCGAGCGTGCGAATACTAAAGTTTGACAACAAAGTGCCTTTGCTGTGCTGACAATCATACTTGTCGCCTGCCACTCATGAAGGTTGATGAACTAACTAAACACAAAGAGTATGGTTTGGCGAAAAATAGATTATTTATTTTCATTTCTTCATATTTTCTTCTTTACCTTTGCCAAATTGATTTTGGCATGCTACGACATTAGCATCGTTTTGCAATATTTTTTGTAATTTTCAAGTTACAGCATATATCTGCTGCTTTGTACGATTTTTGATTACAGTATGACGAAAATGACGAAAATTTATGCGAAAGACGACGTCATCCTATAATCAAATCAACACAGCCTGACTATGAATAGAGATCATGGTGAAAGGCAAATTGTATGCAGTTTGGGGATCTTGAAGATTAGGTAGGGACTACAATCTCAACATGTCATCGATAGTTGGAAGAAGGTTGTTCATCACAATAGCATGTTTTCGATCGAGATTATCCTTGCATCGTGAACCCATTCATCTCTTGCGGTTGAAAAACAGCAGTTTTATGGTGAATGTAACTGTCTATTTTGTTCTTGAATAAGAAAGTAAGAAATCTGAAAGTTCAGACACCAACGACTTTAAAAAAATGGTACATATATTATGGTTTCTCTCCTTTGCATCAATGAGAAACAGTACGGGATGGTCAAACACACAACA